TATTTATTTTTGTAATCCCTTAACTATTATAAATTACAAATGTAACCTTTTAATATATATAAACTTAAACTTTTCTTTGGTATATTTTGGAAGGACGTGGTTAAACATACCAATCATAAAAAGGAAGAGAATTGCTCTTGAAATAGAAAGACAAATGATCAAAATAAAGGAAACTATGTTTGTTGGATATCAGGATATGAGATCCATTCTTTAGTCATGTTTTGAAAGGATCCCCAATTAACTTTCTTGCAGAATACCCTATGAACACTTCCTTAAAATGTATGATTACATGTAGATCTTTTGTAACACCTCAAAAATCACAACCAATTTAAACTTTTCAAAACAACCAATTTACTAAAATGAAGTGGTTACAAAACCATTGTTTCCAAAACATTATTTAAAATCAAAGTCTCCCAAGATCAGCAACCAATTTAAACTTTTCAAAACAACCCATTTACAGAGCCTTCAGTGTAACATGACCACCTCACTAGGCCTTCAGCCTATCTGGACTGCCCTCCGAGCCTTCGGCCTGGCTGCTCCGCCTCACAGGCCTTCAGTCTATCCGGACCGCCTTAGGTATCTTCGCCTTCAGCACAAAACATGATCGCCTCAAACCGGTACACCATCACATATCAACATATACCATAACAATCAATAGCTAGCATATACAAGTGGTCTAATAGATCACTACTGAAACATCCCAAAAATACAATCCAAAATTTTCATTTTTATTTATTATAGAAAACCATATTCATCAAGTATTAGTCATAAAATCTCAACAACATATCAATGTATCTCAAATATCAGAGTAAAACATCCCAGGCTAAGCATAAATGGTGTGTGTACACTGTAGTCATCCCGAGCTCACCCCTTGTTACAAGAGATACCTGAAACCAAAAGTGAAAACTATAAGCACGAAGATTAATGAGCTCCCCAAACTACCACATACCATATACATATCATGAAACTAAGAGATACGGTCCCCGCCCATACTCAAGGAGATACGGGCCCCGCCCACACTCCGCTACTAGGAGATATGGGCTCTGCCCACACTCTGCTGCTATGAGACACGTCCCCCACCCACACTCAGCTACTATGAGATTTGGGCCCCACCCACAGTCAGCTACTACGAGATACGGGCCCCGCCCACACTCAGCTATTAACATGCATACAAGTATCACACAGACAACAAGTACAACTAAAGCTATCAATCATTCATATATCCATACTCAAATAATGTTATGAGATACGGGCCCTGCCCACACTCGGCTAACTAGGAGATACGGGCCCCGCCTACACTAGGCTACTAACATACACATATCATATACGAGCTGGCCTTGGTGCCGTAGACCCGTTCCTACTATAGGAAACTCACCTTGAAAGCTAGTTATGAATCTCATGTGAGGAATCTCTAACAACTGCTCTAACGACTCCCCGACTATCAATAATACAATAACACTTAGTTAAAATATGATAATCCTTAGGGTAAAATGACCATTTTACCCCTAGTCAAAGTCAACGTTCTGTTTAAAGTCAACATTCTGGTTGACTCAACTCGCTGAGTTGGCCTATCAACTCACTAAGTTCTATAACTCAAAAACCCTAAAATCACGATCCAACTCGCCGATTCATCCCCCTGACTCGCCGAGTTCCCTGTCTACCCATAGTCGCGATTAAGCAAGTCAACTCGTCGAGTCATCCTCAGACTCATCGAGTTCTACCATATTCAGAATCGGGATAAATCGCCTCAACTCGTTGAGTTCCTCCATGGACTCAACGAGTTCCCCTGTCTGTTTGGTCCATCTTAATAGATTAAGCCCCTACACTTCAAATCTAGACTTCTTGCTTCTCATACTCACTGAAAACATCCATTCAAGGGTAAAGTTTCCAACTTTACCCGTTCATACCCTCATAAGACAAGTTTGGCTTAAACTCTAAACCTTTGGTACATAGATCTTGGTCTAAAAGCCATAATACTCCAAACTAAAGCATACTAACATAGATCTAGACCTTGGACACCATTTGGACACGTAAAGCTCCTAACTTTCCTTCCATGCATGGTCTTTCGGGGCTTAAAAGGCTAAATAACACCTTAGAGCTTGCATGGGGGTTCCAATGGCATAAAGTTTGCACCTTTATGCCATAACAACCCTTAATGATTCCAGATCTGATGGTAAACCCACTTGGGACGTCCATGTCCCAAGGATCATGTTTATTGGATCATAAACTCCATAAAGTGAAGATAAGAAGATCTAAGAAACTACTAAGAAAGTTAGAGGCTTGATTACCAAGAAATGAAGAGGATGAGATGTTGCTTCTGGATCTACAAACTTCTCCTGGAGTCCTCTAGCTTCTTCTTCTTCTTCTTCTTCTTCTACTACAAGCTTCAAATCACACAAAGTTCACCCAAGAATGGTTTAGGGTTTGGGACTTGGAGGCTGCAAATAAGGCTGCAAATAAGGCTGAGGGTTTGGGACTTGGAGGCTGCAAATAAGGCTGAGGGTGGGGATTAAGGTGCTTAAATAGGGTGCAAAACTCCGAAATTAGGGTTTCACTCTGGCACCCCTACTCGTCGAGTCGAGGCTCTCAACTCGTCAAGTAGGTGACTTAAATCCCGCGTCCAATTTGGTTTCTACTCGATGAGTCTGGGGCTTCCAACTCGTCGAGTAACTCCAAAAATATGAATAAATTATAGATAAAATTACATACTAGGAACCCGGTGTTACAACTATAGCATAACAACATCCTATATACCAGGATACAGATCTAACAGATCACTGCAGCATAGCACCACCCTATATACTAGGATACATATCCAACATATCACTACAATATAACAACATACAGTAAAACCAGGATATCAATTTAGTGGGTCAGCATTGGTGCCTTCGACCCGTAAGTACAGTGAGGAAAACTCACCTCATAGTTTGAATGTAGTCTAAATAATCCCCAGCTCCGACAACCGGCTCAATCCAAATCCTAAATATCCAAACATTTCCCATTAATAATATTTTACCCAAAATACCCTTGATTAAAACTGGTCAAAATCAGCAAGTCAACTGAGTTAACCCAGTCGAGTCAGCTCAGGACTCGTACATTGGGCATACTCCGAAGGTACGCAGGGCGTACTTGAGCTTTAACCGCAGTCAGGGTGATTGACCACATATACGTTGTGTACTTTAGGTTATGCAGGGCGTACGCTCAGAATTCCTAATTTCTCAACAAGAGCTTAATACATTAAGCTCTTATGTCAAAATTTCAGATCCAAAGCCAAAATACAACTAAGAGTCATAATTTTCCAACTTTATAACTTTGCATGTTCATTAAGTGCTTAGTACACAAAATATCAACATCTTAATGCCTTAAGACCTTCTATAGCATGCATGGAGTAAAACTAACCATCAAGATCACATTTTTACGACTTAAGACCCCTCATAAGGTCTGAAAGGACGACTTATTTGGTCAAGAGCATGTCATGCTCAAGAATCACCATATCTGGGGACCAAAAGTTCCCTAAAGGAAGAAATAGATAGATCTACAAGATAGAGTGATCAAGTTATGAACTTTTTACCTCCTAGATGTTGCTAACAAGGGGGGAATCCCAGATTTAAGTTGCTTCCAAGCTTCAAGGTCCTTGCACCAACTTCTCCTTCTTCAAGAACACCAAAAAGGCACACAAATGAGCTCAAAACACTCTTCTCACTTAGGGTTTGCTAGAGGTTCAAATTTTCAGATGGGGATTGATGAGAGAATGATGAATGAGGCTATAATGATGCTTATATATGGACCAAACCCTGAACATTAGGGTTTAAGGTTTCATTATGTACGACATGCATACGTGGTCTATGCCCAACGTACTAGGGCTCGCCCTAGTACGCTCACCGTACACAACTCCCAACGTACTACTCCTTGTCCAATACTACCAAAATGCCACTATGGGCCACTTTGCACTCTTTCTTATACTCAAGGACTAAATTCATACATAGGGTTACAATTGAAAATACCATAACTTTGGGATGTTACATCTTTCTGAGGGGTAAGACATAGGAATTTTACAGATGGAGTGTTTGGGTACCAAATTTAAAGAAGGTTAACTTTTTATGACTATATTGTCTTGATTTTAATTATCCTCTTCACTAAGTAGTCCTTGATAATGGAGTGGAGGAACATAATTGTTGATAATGAGATAACAATTAGATGTGAATATGCAGAATCCCCATTATACTCGCGTCTAAATGTGATTCGAGCATCTAGAGCATTCTCATGGAGCATTTGGAGCACTTAGATCTCTATTAAGCTGTGAATTTACTCTATTAAGCTATAAATATTTTATGAATTTTATCTTAACATACATTTATTAAATAATACTTCAAATTATCTATTAAAGCCGTAATTTCTAATAATATCAACTCAAAAATACTCCTATTTATACAAATTCTTTCCTAAATTTTGTTTTTTTTTTTTTTTTTTAATTTTATGTTTTACATAAGAGTATATTTAAATAAATACGTTATACAATACATATTATCTAATTTAGTTGGGTAGAGATCTTAATTCATTAAAGTGTTTGGGTTCAAGTTTATCACTATCATTTGTTTTTCAAATTCTAGTTTAAATTTATCAGAATTAGTTTATATATAATTCTTTTTTTTAAATAAATATAATAAATTTGTAGTAGAGTCGGTTAAAAAACTTAGGTATTTGGTAAATTCATTATAAATTTTAAATTAAATTTAGTGGTCATATGAATTTATAGTAATTAAGGGCCTATATTTTTTTTCCTGACCCGAAACCTGTTTGGAACGGCCCTATGTAACATTGCTATTAGTGGTAATAAAAATGAAAGAATATCATTGTCCTGGATAAGTAATGGAATACACTGTCGATATTGGTAGCGGGTTGATGAAATTATAAATCAAACATCAATTATACCAAATATTGCATGAAAAGAACTCAGAAGCAACCAAAAACACACACAACCAACACATATACTTTCATTCCGTGAAATTAACAATGCAAAATGAAGGAGCTATTTGGTCTTAATCACCAACCAACGATGAAAATGTGAAAAGTAGAATTTAACAAAGTTAATGAAAAATAATATGCAAACCACATGCTAAAAAAGACATTGATCTGTTGTTTTTATTCACAACACCAATCAACCAAGAAACTTCAGGTGTTGAAAAGAGATATATGATGCAAGAGTGGTTCTATTGCCTTCTGGTATTGAAAGGAGATATATGATCTAAGAGTAGTAAACAATAGAACTGCTGCTTTAAGCAAAATACCCAATCTTGCAATCACCGGTGGATGAGAACCATTACCACTAACACCACCACCACCAACAGCAACAAGAGCTTTCAACTTGAGTCGAGGCGTGGTAGCATCTCCCTCGTTCTTGGTCTCCGGTGGAGGGGTGGCAGCATCTCCTTCCGAATGAGAACCCCCACCAACAATATCCGACATGGGTGTTGGTGTAGCATCAGGGGCTCTGTGTCGGTATTGCCAGATCATGCCACCAAGCACTTGTCCGAGAAGGGATGCCCCAACTGTATATGCCAATTCCCTGGTACACATTGGTGGCCACACGAGCGAATAGAAAATGAGGGGTGTAAAAGGCATAGCACCAAGAATAGCTATAAACCAAAGCCGTGAGAATTTGTCAGTATCGCTTTTCCGAAGCCAACCCATACAAAAATTGATTATGATTGCCATGGCACAAATAATTAAGATTTCTTTCTTCAGGGGCTGGCTAGCCAGGTTGGTAACAACAGCAGTTGCCGCCATTGCAGTTATAATAGGCGGGACACTTCTGATATCAAAGTTGGAAGCTTTAGCTTTTAGTGGCCGGATCTTCCTATGTTTCTTTATCATCATACACTCCCCGTTCCTCCTGTCAGTTTTGCTCGTCTCTTTGAAACCATACTTGACCACTCCAACATTCAAAGAAAGACTAATGGTAGCTGCCAAAGGGTAAAAATGTTATCAATACATCTTTTTCTTATTTTGTGGATTAGATCTTTCATTTATTTTATTATCTTTTGATTATTTAAATAGAGAAATTGCAAAACCTAGTAACATAAATTTCTTTATTACCAATATGGAACATGATTCAACTATAACAAAATACATGAAAAATATAATGTAATTGTATTGCTTACCTAAAGTCTTCTCAGCAAATGGAGGAACCGCATTTTTGTCAAGATCAATGATCTCAAAGCATCTGGTCAAACCCTTGACTTGATCTCCAAAAGTAGATGCATCTTTTAGCTTCTGTGACTCTATGTTCAAAATGTTTTTTGCTACCTGTTTTGTTATTTCTCCATTTGGCTTCAACTTGCTAAAATTCCCACCAAGTTTTACTCCAGTATGTTTCTCAATGGAAGGAAAAAGATTGAATAGCTGGAATTTGTTGGTGTTTAGCCTGTTTGTGGTAGGCAGGGGACTCTGTTTCTCAAAAGAAAGCTCCATATTCCCTCTAAGGGGTTGCTCCTGTTGGTAAAAGATTTAGAGAAAAAGATACAAACTAATTTAGCTATTGTAATTAAGGGTTTTTATGGTTGGATGGAATGGCAAATGACTGAATGTAAGGTAATGGAATGACTCGTTACATTCCATTGTCATGTTTGGTTGGCATGTAGGAATCATATGAATATACTTACTTAATTATATCTAAATGCAAGGTGTAGGGTTAACATTATTCTATATATTATTTAACTAGGTGAGCTTTTACTTAGTATGTCCTAGTTACACAAAGGAAAACACTACTATTCATCATTTTATCATTTTGTGTGCATGGTTTTTTGGGGGGACCAAACTTGCTGACATACCAAAGTCAAGGGACTAAACCTGCAAACATGGCAATATACAAAAGATGAAAGGTGGAAATTGTCGTTGTTCAAATATGAGGAAGTAACAGTGACATTTGACAAAGTAAAGGGGGTGGAAAGTGTCATTCTACAAAGTAAGGGGGTGGAAAGTGCCATTTTTACAAATAAGGGGGAAGAAATTGCCAATGTACAAAAGTATAGGTACCAAATCTATCAAAATAATAAACTTTTGTTTCAAAAATATGAAATAAGAAACTAAATTTGTGGCAAAAGTCTAAAAACCTATACTCCTGTGACAAAAATCAAAAATACAAAAGTTTCCTATTCATACATGGGTTGGTTTTTATTATATATAATAATAATTTTACTCTAAACACAATAAAAGCTAATTATTACCCAAATACGACCATAAAAAAGAAAATATTATTCTAATAGTTTAAAAAAAATGTTTTTAGTTCAATTAAAATGATGAAATTTATAAAATAATAAAAAAATGTCATTGAAATTCTAAAATAAAAATGGGTTATATTGCAATTTTGATTCCATTCCGGGATGCCAAAGAAACACTCCCTCTTAGAATGTAAATTAACAGATCGGGAGGAATCAAAATTACTTCAGGATTCCATTCCATTCTTTTGCTGATTCCATCATACCAAACACACACCAGCCAAAAAAGTAGGACAGGGACTCATTCTAGGTCTCTTGTCTATGCAAAAACATGAATGCCCTCCTCTTCTTCATTGTCAAAACTAATCCCGCATAACAAAGAAAGTTGAAGCTAGAAAGGCATGAATCATCACCTCATCAACTAATCCAATTATCGCAGATGGCATTCGTAGACCTGAGAAGTTGATCTTCCTTTTCAGTCCATCAGAAGATATGAGACTTGCCATTGACCTTATTGCACATTCCATTTGTTTACAAGAATCGGTATGGTTCTCAGCAGTAACTCCCTGTGGAGATGGGTCAGCCATGTTAAACCTTTGTTTTTCAGAAACGGCTTTTCAATATTCAGCACACCTGCATACACAAAAAGCTTGAATCAGAAATTAAATGAAGTAACATTCGTTATTTGTCCATTTTGGTCCATGAACTGCAAAAATGGATAACTTAGTAAAATGAGGGTAAATCACAAAGATCATCTACTCAAATGAAGGAAAATTCGTGATATGTTGATTAGATACACAGATCTAAGACATTCAAGTTCATATTAAACCCTAAATATGTGTGCATAGTCAAATATTTATCAGTCCTAGTCAATGATCGAAATTTCGCATATAGAACGACCAAACTTACACAGATTACTCACATATAACGATCAAAATAAAACACGCATAAGCAAAGGACAATGCAATCTCACCTTCGAGTATTAGGAGAGACTCTGTTTTTACAGTTTTAAGTTGTAAAAAAAAAACTCCGAGAGCTTCGAGCTATATTTTCCAACTATTGCATCCAGAATCTGAACAGAAACTTCACCAGTCACCGGAGACTGAATTTAGTCTGAACAACGAGCAAACACGCAGCAAATGTGTGAGAGAAGAGAAAGCACAGTATGAGAGTGGAGATAGGTGAGAGAAAGAAAGCACAGTTGGAGCACCGGTACCCGTTTCTGTGGCGATTCGGTTCGGGCACAAAAAAGTTGTCGCACTATATTATTATTATTATTTTTTGGCTCGGGTCAAAATTGTGTTAAAAGACATGCAACCATAACAAACTAATTACCGATTATGGGTTAGAAAATTACAAATTTAGCCAAAAACATTAATTATTTTGTAGAAAATAGTAAAAAAAAAATAAAGTTGCAAATATAGTCACCCAAATCGTAGATGGGAATGGTCCATTTACGATTTACCTATTCCATCTGCGAATGTACAAGTGGCTAAAATACAGACGTGCTTTAACCACTTGTATATTTGCAGATGGTTTTTTTTTTTTTTTTTTTTTTTTTTTTTTTTTTAATATATATATATAAGGAAGAATCAAGCTAAAATCGCAGATGGATAGTATCCATTTGCGATTTTCTCTCCGTTTGATCTGTGATTTTATGGTATTTTTTTAATTTTTTTATTATTATTTTTTTATTTTGACTATGAAATCAATGGATTTGACTATGAAATCAATAGGTTTGACTACGAAATAACCTTATTATATATAAACTTTTGTAGAAAATTATCAGTTTCCTTGTTATTTCTTTAGAAAATTTCTTAAAAACATCTCTAAAAAAGATGAATGAATATATGGTTTGTCTTGTAACCGGCGGGAGATGACAAGTTATTGAAACAAATATGGAATACGTATATCCACAGGGAGGTATTTCTGAATTCGCTTTGATATTTTCTGAGTATATATTAGTTATAGTGATTTTTTTATGTTTGGTGAGAAACAAAATTGGTGTGTTAGAAAAATATAGAATTAGTCTTCGTTTCCATCATCCTGAATTGAATTATTATATAGCCATGGTTGAAGACATGGATGTTAGAATGTTAATAAATGTAATCAAATGTAGTGGAGGAAGGGCAGTGAAAATGTTTGTGGTGGTTGATGAAGGAGATGAGGTTAATGAGGCTGGTCAGAGTGGAAGTCTGGATGTTGGTAATTTATACAACTATAAAGGGAGCAACGATCCGATAGGTACTTTCAATACTCCTAGTGTACCTCAATTTCACAGTGTTGCTGAAAATGTTAATGTTACTTATTCACCTATTCACTATGTTGATCCTAAGAATTACAAGTATGTTGGTGATGATGATGTTGGTACATATCTTAATGACGTGGGTGGTCGTTGTGTTGATGTTCCCGAACAAGAAGTTAAAGTTTTGAATAGGGTTGTAGTAGATAAAAGTAAAAAGAAAAAAAAATGCATCAAAAAGATGAAAAAAAGCATGTTTACGGGGATTATGTTGATGTTGCTGATGTAGCTTTAGATATAACCGACTTAGAAAGAAATTCAGATGGAGATGAGTTGGGTGATGAAGTTAAAGCTAAGTTTCCCGATAACCTTTTTATGGTATGCCCCCTCTACCAGATTGTCCAGTTGATGTAACGACCATAAAATTCGAGCCAAATTAAAACATTTGATTCATTAAAAAACCATTAAGTTTATACATTCGTTTTCAAAATAGTTTAAACATCAGAGTATTTCCCCAGAACCATATCTCATAAATCATAAAACATGAGGAGCGGTATGATCACGCCTTCGTCTTTCCACGATTTCCTGAAGTACCTGAAACAAAACACTGAACTGTAAGCCCAAAAGCTTAGTGAGTTACCCCCAAAATACCAACCACACAGAAACATACTCATAACATATCACAAATAGAATAGCCATGCACATCGAGCCTACAGTGTGATTGGTCCGCTCACAACGGGCCTTCAATCCACCTGGTCCACTCTCTGAGTCTACAGTATGACTGGTCCGCCCGCACCGGGCCTTCAGTCGGCCTGGTCCACTCTCCGAGCCTCGGCACGTCTGGTCCGCCCTCTTGGGGGCTTCAGCCTATCCGGACCGCTCGCTGGGCCTTCGGAATATCCAGTCCGCCCTGGGTATGTTGGCCTACCACACAAAGCATGACCCGCCTCAACCCAACCCCCGTCAAACAACCATGAGCACATAAAACAATTAATCACGTAACAAATCCTTAACCAGACAAACAGTCTAACAGATCACATAGCATAACATTACCCTATATGTCGGGTACCGACCTAAACCAGGTCACTAACATAGCATCATCCTATATACCAGGGTACCGACCTAAACCAGGTCATTGACATAATATTGTCCTAATTACTAGGACGCTGATCTAACAGATCAATAAGCACATCAACAGTACAAGTACAAATATCAGATATAGCTATCTCATAGATCATCGATCATAGCAATCTCTCACGACCAAAGCATTGACCTAACCAGGTCACTAACATACCAATCCTAACGGATTATATTAGCATAACAACATACTATCTATTTTGATACCAATCTAACATATCATAACCACATGTAGCATACTGTAACCAAGATAACAACTAAAAGGGCCGACCTTGGTGCCTTAGACCCTATTGATATAGTGATGATAACTCACATGCAATTGCCGATTGAAAAGATAAGACCAAGCTGCTCCGACCACTGACACGTTCATCACCACAAAACACTACCAAAGAACCAATTCCATAAATACCAATATTACCAAAGTACACTTAAAAGTCAAACTTGTCAACTCTTGGTCGAAGTCAAAGTCCTCATTCAAAGTCAACCTTCCTGGTTGACTTTACTCGCCGAGTCAACCCGTTGACTCGCCGAGTTCCCATACCCAGAAAACTCTCATAGCACAACTTAACTCGCCGAGTCGCCCCAAGACTCGCCGAGTCTAACGATCTCTGAGTCCCATCCTGCCCAACTCACTGAGTCGCTAACCGACTCACTTAATCCGAGTCTTTAACCAAAAGAGGTTGGGGTTCTACGACCTGACTCGCCAAGTCCAAGAACAGACTCGCTGAGTTGTTCATCCAACTCGCCGAGTCCATGCACATGTTCATACAACTCGTCGAGTACACCCATGTGACTCGCCGAGTCTCTCCAGTTCTTAACCCATACAATGGCTTTTCGAGCCATGCAGGGGCTCCAATCCATAGATCCACTCTTCTACAGTCTAACCCTCAGATAAAGTTGCAAACTTTACGTGAAATCAAGGAGATATAGGCCCAAAACACACTAGGGCTTGGGTTTAAGACAAAAGGGCTTCACCAATAACTCTTAGACAGAAGCTTTATGACATTTTGGACCATCACAAGCCTAGATCTGAAGTAGCAACCTCAGATCTAAGCCTCTAACTCGAAATGGTTCTCAATCATACCAAAAATGCCCCAAATCTCAAATGATAATAGATCTAGATACAAAAGAGCCCAAGCAATAGATTATTACCTCCAATATATGCTCCCACTGAAGAATAATCCGGATCTCCTCAAGTCTCCTTTATCCAAGCTTCTTGATCTTCAAGATTTCTTCACAAATCACTCCAATTTGCTTCTAAGGCTTCTCACAAATGAGTTAGGGTTTCTGGATCTCAAAGGGGGTTCAGGGGGCTGAGTGGAGGACATTAAGTCCTTTAAATAGGGTGCAAACCCGAAGATTATGGCTTTTCCTCATCCAACACTGACTCGTCGAGTCCAGCCGTCGACTCGGCGAGTCAGGCCACTTAATCATGTGCCCGGTACTCTTTTCGACTCGGCGAGTCAAGAGACCTACTCGCCGAGTCCCTTCCTATATTTTCATATAGCACCCTTCAACTTCTTGTTTCTGTACTTAGGACGTTACAGCTGATATTAACGAAAATATCCCAACACAGATGGTAGACATCAATCTTCAAAAGATTGAATGTGAGAGTATATTTAATAACAAAAAACTTTTAAAGTGGGCTATTGGTAAAAAGTGTCTCCGAGAAGGTTTTCAGACGAGGACAGGTAGATCCACCAAATCAAGGTATGAAGTTGTGTGTGTTTCGGAAAATTGTTCTTGGTTACTAAGAGCAAAAGCAATTAAAAATTATGATGGACTTTTCCAAGTGACTAAATTTGTTGATGTACACATATGTTCTTGTAACGACCCAATTTTTACATCCGAAAATTTCATTTTAAAATATTACTTTAGAAAACATTAATAAATAAAAATATTGTTTGATCACACCATAACACATCGCAACCATGTTCTAAAAGATCAAACCATACATCCCATCAAAATATCAGAGTACAATCCCAGTAAATCTCGCAAATGCGGAAACCGAAGAGTGTGTGTGTATGACGTGTCGCTACCGCGCCGGCTCCTTCCCCTTCGGTGCAGAGGTACCTGAAAACAAAACTGTAAACGTAAGCACAAAGCTTAGTGAGTTCCCCCAACGTACCACATACCATACAAACACATAACATACGTACTACCAGGCTATTATGGGGTGCCTGACTACCCGGTACGGCCACTCTGGGGTGCCGACCTACCCATACGGCCATTCTGGGGTGCCGTCTTACCCGTGTCAAGCCATTCTAGGGTGCTGACTACCCATGTCAAGCCATTCTGGGGTGCTGACTACCCATGTCAAGCCATTCTGGGGTGCTGACTACCCATCGGTCCTAACAACCGATCCTCGGGGACTGGTCCCCTCCCGCTACCTCTATCGCATAACATAACAGACCAACATACAAGCATACCATCACATACAGTCAGATAATTCTGGGGTGTCTGACTACCCAGCGGTCCTAACAACCGAACTCTACTACTATTGCATATAACGTATCATGATAGCATGTAACATAACAGGTAATAGCAAACCTAGATGATATCACAAAGACAATCATCTATCATACGTCTCCTACTGGTGGGCCGGCATTGTGGCCTTAGACCCACCACTACTGGAAGGTAACTCACCTCAAAGTAGCTGCTGAACTGATCGGGAACTAACTGACTGCTGCTGCTCCGGGAGTCCTCCGGCTGCAATTCCCACAACATACTCAATCAAACACTGCTAACTGTCCTTTAGGTAAAATGACCAT